GTCCATAAAAGGTAACGAAAGTTATTTACATTTTGGCGACAGAAGCTAAGATACCAATGGCAAAAAACAAGTCTTCTCTCTGGATCCCCTGCCAAAAGCGTTTGAACTGGTCGGTACTTATACGGAATAAATTTGTATTTTTTTAAAATCCTTTGAACAGTACCATAACTGAAATTAGAGTCCTTGAGAATATCTGCTATTGAATTCTCACGATAAGCTTCAAAATATCCAATAACTGCAATTTACGTGGCCTCGCTTATTATGAATTCTTTTTTTGCCCTTGTTTTAGCAAAAACATTTTCGTTGCCCCTAAATTTTCGATAAAGTCTCAGAAAATATCGTTCATACGGTTGAATGCGAGCGGGATATAATTCACTGTAGTATTCTCTTGCTCTCAAGGAGGATTTTCTGCACACTAAATAGCATTCTAACATATCACACTTTTCTTCATGGGAGAACATTTTTCTTTAAATTAATGACACAATAAAGCTTATAAACAAGTATTTACACTAATGTTTGACATTATTTGATTTTATCATTGTTTTCCAAAGCCTTCTAGTTGCGAGTATGTCCAGTTTAACAATTTGTCGCTTATCTTAATGCTGTCAAATCGCGAACGCCATGTTGTTTTCATAGCCGTCTTAATATTATAATACTGCAAATAATTAAAAATATTTATCGTTATTTTGACTTTACTTTTGACTTTAGCGGAAAAGTCATTGTGAACTTTTTTGTTTAAAATTTGATGCTTTAACAGAAAAAAATATAATATACAGGGGTTTCCATTTAAAAAAATGTTATTTTACTGAAAAAATCAAAATAACGACTCTCAATTGTTTTTTTTTATTTCTCATTTTTACCAGCGTTAAAAATGCTACTAGTTTGCTAATTCAAACAACTTTGTATTTTCACTAATAACAAAGTTACTAATGGTGGACACTTAATTTGGATAACCCTGTATACTAAGTAAACTACAGTACTGCTCTTCTTGCTCTAAAAACGACCCCAAAACTTGACGCCTGAAGCACTAGTGGTGTTCTGACAGGATTTCCATGTTGGGGCATTTTCTCCTGAATTTGGGGAATTCTTATTTGAGGAACTCTTCGGGTATATAATGTTCTGAGGGACATCACACATGTCGCGGTTAGACAGCATCCGATCTTGGGACCAAACGTACCAATTTCCATTAACTATGATTTTGTTTTTTTGAATGAGTAGCAATTCTGAGCGATTATTGTGCTAGTTCCGGGGAAATTCTATTCGAGCTATCTGGCAACGCTGTGCTTTGACATATCCGCCATATGAACACTTTCTTCGGCATAAGAAACGCATTACTGCCAAAGTTATATATATACCAAGGATTTGGAACAAACTTGCGACTACCCTTTGAACCCCTTAATACGTACCTTTCGCAAAATCCGATCTTAAGTAAGATCTACTGCAAGTAAACTACTTCCCTGCTAAATTCTAGGTCTCTATTAGAAAATTCGTGCTTAGCTGGCATGTCCTGTCTATAGGCTACCTTTATGCCAAATTTCATGTGTATGAGTCAAATATTGATCAAGATTTCGTGTCTGATGGGTGCGAATATTTCTGCTTTTATAACCATAAATTACCCCCGCCAAATTCTATATGCATAGGTCAAATAGTTTTCGAGTTTTCGTAATTGACGCTTATTTATATATCTGCCCTTAGTCCTCTTTAATCCTGCCTTTCTGAGCTGACAGATCTGAGGCAGATGTTACATCACATCAGATAGCTGAAGCATCAGGACGTTTAGGCAACACTTACAGCTACGGAAAGAGTACACATCAAGTGTACATCAGCTAGTGCTAAGTTGACATCTTGTAGAAAAATGTATCATTCATCATTTATTTGTCTGGGCGGTCCGTAGGGCCTTTGCCCATTACTCACTGTCTAATGTACGTTAGTCGAATCTGTCGGACCTGGTTGCCCAGAAACCAGACAATGTCATGGACAAAGAGAAAGGGAATAAGAAGGAAAAGGGGAGATGATCAAAGAAAAACAGAAGTATATCAGTTTAAGAATAAACACCTACGCTTTTCAACTTGGTAAACTGATTAATTTTGAGGTGAACTAAAAACAAATTTTGATTGAGCATAATTTTGGCTTTATTAAAAGTGTGCAAAATTCTTGTCACAGTGTGCTTTGAATGTTTACGATTTTGCTCCACTGTGTAGTCCACTGAGTCACGCAAGAGAGGATTGCTGTGCGATTCCGCTTGACTATAACGTCGCTGCGCCTGAAGCTTGACATAATCCGTCAGGTAGGGAATGTCAAGATCTCTGAATAGTATCTCACTTGAGGCATAATAAAAACATACATAATATCACAACAAACCTATATAATATCCGCGGGTCACCACTATGGCCGCTAGATGCCGATATTGATGCTATAGTAGCTACGGTCCATTCGCCATTGAACAAAGCTGTAATGATATGTGAATAGTTGTTTCGTGCTATTTGGCAACTGGTCTGCTTATTACTAAAACTCGATGTCCTGGAAAGTTCAGATTTGTCACTTACAATTTAATAGATGCATGTGCAGGAATGACGGGAGGGGGGTATCGGGTACTTTTCTCCCTGGGCCCTGAGTTGTCTGAGGAGCCCACTATTTAGGCTAGACCACATTTCAGATCTTTTTGGATAAACAATATAAGAAAAATCGTATGTTCCGAAAGAGTTAAATGTAACTCAGAAATTAGTGAATTAAACGCAAATCTCATCACAAATAGAGTCTTATTAAATTTTCAGTGAAATTGCAATCGATTTTTTGATGATAGAAAAAAATTTAGTATAAAAAAATTTGGTGTACAAGAATGAAGACGACAAATCACTGGAATTGGTGTAATGATTTGTTTATTAAATATGATGGATGTGTATACCAATTGTATTGATCTGCGCTTTCACCATTTCTACACTTCATATTGGACCACCCAGAACTTGGACATACTGAAGACCCTGTTGAATACACGATTTGTGAAATGATCTACAGAATAACATAAACTTCTATCCGTATGTCAAATTGTAATAAGTTGAATAGCAGGACGTCTGGAATAAGGAGTGGAAGGATTACATTTACCGTGCATGGCCCATTCAGCGGACTGAAACTGCAGTTGGCGTTTTGTTTCCCGCCAAGGCAACAGGACTTTAGATCACATACTGTATACACCCCCGGTTCGTAATAATTTAAATAGCCGTAGGGGTATTACGTGCCTTGAAAAGTGACATTATGTCAGCTTTTTGACATCATATAAAATTATGTAGGTTTTTCTACAAGATGTCAACTTAGAACTTGTTGTTATCCACTTCATGTACACTCGTTTTGTAGCTTCATGTGTTGCCTAAACATCATGATTTTTCAGCTATCCACGTTTGGCTTTGATGTGATGTAATATCTGCTTCCTTCCATTATTGGAGGTCTAAGCTGTAAGTTGTATACTATAGCTGGAAGAAAATGACACAGCGTATATGCATAGTGAGGATTGTTGTGCTAATAATCTGCATTGATGATAATTCCCTTAGTTTTTTCTCTCAAATACACTTGCTGAATTTCAGAAATGAGAGAGATAAAAAAGAAAATCTCTGGTTGGTGAAGTATTACACTATTACTAACTGGTGCGAAAACAGATTATTTATGAAACGCAAAAAGCAAAGAACCGGGGAAAATGGAATTTATAATTTTGAACATAACCTGTCTTCAGAAGGGACCACACAAATAACCCGTCTAGCACAGCTAATAGATATGTTTCATGGGCAGGTTATGCAGATCAACATACACAATCATCCAGATGCGAATTTGAAACGCTGCTACTCAACCAATTTTATTTCTATCACATCTCAGTGATATACTATACAGACTATCTCGGCATTCTGCAACCCACAAAGCATACTGGTGAACTTACTTGTAGCATGATCGTTGAGTTATTCCTCCGTAGGTCACTCTAGGGAGACGTACACAGTCAATAGCGAAACGAACTATTTGTACACTATCTAGTCAGAAAGTTGACATTTTCTTTTTTTTTATATATTATAGGTTTCTTACGTAATAACCATGCCGGACGTCTAGAATGAGGAGTAGCGAGGAAAGAGTCACACAGTATGAGTCCTGTCCGACGCGACATCACTTTCGGATGCATTCTATACATCCGCCAATTCGTAATAATTTAAGAAGCAGGACATCTTCATTAAAGAGTACCGTAAACTTGGGTTACTTTGGTCCACTTTTGAACTTTACACTGTGATAAGTTTTACACCAAATGATATTAATTTTTGTTTACAGTCGAGTTTTATGGGTTTGTATTAGTACTTTGAACTTTGAAATGGAGAAGGAGCTAAACACATTCTAAATATATAAGTCAGATGACGAAGTTGGGTTACTTTGGCAACATGTTGTTTTATTTAAAAAACGCAAACACATGCCATAGCATGGGTTAGTTTGGCCATAAAAACAATAGCCAACTATGTTTGAAGTATTTTTTTAGGGTTTCTAAATAAAAAATACTTATGACAATAAGTTTTTTGTTTTATTTATAAAATTTGTAAACAGATGTAAAAAAGTCTTTTAAACTTAATTTAAACGCAAATAAGGTAGGTAACAAATCCTTTGACAAAATTTAAAAAAAAGCAAATTCTTTGGTAAAATTAAAAATAAACACAAATTCTTTGGTATAATAAAAAAAATACAAATTCTTTCGAAGGGAAATTATAATAAAAAATAACGCGGTTAACCTAAATTATAATTTTCCACTTCTGGAATTTCAAAGAAACCTCTTTTGAACGGAATAGGTGTCTCTATGACCTGTAAAATGTCTTCCTCCTCGTACCAGATGATGTCATCTTTACTCGACCACTTCCACTGCAACAATCCACTAGGTGTTAAAGATTTTATTTTGTATTGCTTCTCATCTTCTTTTATTTCAATAACTTGAACAGGATAAATATGTTATTCATATAAAAATAGGACAAACTGCCCAATTTTTATTTCATTCCTTCCTTTGCATGTGGTGCTTTCGCTTGTATTTTCTTGTGTGAATTTAGTCTCACTTCCAATGCCATCATCAGGCTCTCCCTCCGATTGAAGTGACATAGCAACAGAGCTTTCTGAATCACTAGAAGTTGTTGTTCTAGTTTTTTGTTGCGGTTTGAAATGTTTTGTTTAACACCACTAGGTCCTGCAACTGGTTCGTTTTGCAAATCTAGGATTGAAATGCCCTTTCCTGCTGTTATGTTAAGCTTTTTTTCCTTGTAGTTTGTTCTGTTGGACCGGAAAATCTTCTTTCTTTCTGACAGCGGCACTAACATTTGTCTGGACATCGGGATCGATATTATCATTTGATGGTATTCGCTCCAATATTTTCATTCGGTTTAGAAGGTAAATTCCTGCCTTTTCAAAACTGCTTATTAAATTATCTTTTCCTGATTCTAATAATAAGTCTGTCACTAATTTAAGCAAATGCGGAAAATCTGATTTTGGAATTGTTTTATTTGCTCCACTAAGTTTGTAATCCGTTATGATTTGCCTCCATTTCATTTTAAGCGGCCGAAAATATGCGATGTCAAGTGGCTGACTGAGATGTGTGGTGTTAGGTGGTAAACAAATATATCATATTGGGAAGATAGGTTTATGACATGCACACTTAGAAGAGAGGTTATCGCCAATCAGCACTTTGGGTCCCTCCAAACGCTTTAAAGCAGGAAAGAACTAAATGTTCAAATCAGTCTTCGAATATAAATGGCCCTCAAACCACCCGCTTTTTGAGCGATTATAACGTGTTCCATCTGGTCCTCCCTCCATCCAGGTATCATAGATATTTTTTACCTTATAAACAACATAAGGTGGCAACACTGAGCCTACAGCATTTCCACAAAACATTACACTTGTAGATTGTTTGGACGAGTTCAGGATGCGCTCAGGATATTCGCAGCCCCGTTTTGTTAAAACCTTTTTATTACCTTGGTCATCGGATAAGTTCGACTCATCGTAATTCCAAATATTTGTCGTTGGAATCCCCCTTAATTCCTCTTCTAACTGGTCAAAGTATTTATTAATAACGGCAGATGAAACTCCGGCCCGAACGGATTTTATATTTGCAACAAACCTTTGTGTCACTGCTGGATGTCTTTTTAAAAATAGTCTTACCCATTCACTACCAGGAAGATTATTTGTAAATCTGCTTATAACTATACCCTTTCGATCTAGATAGCACGTCACAAGTTTTCTTAAATCTAGGGAATCTAGACGAAAACCATATGACGATGTTAATAATAGATTTGCTACAGAGACTGTGAGTCCGGTCCGTGTCTCCCCCCAACGCGACATTACTTTTGGATGCATACTGTACATCCGCCTGTTCGTAATAATTTAAATAACAGGACGTCTGGAATAAGGAGTAGCGAGGCAAGAAGACATGACTCGGCCCGCAGAGCGGAATGAACGTCACAGAGATTGTGTGTCCTGTTGGTGTGTATGTGTGTTTTGGGTGAGAGAAGCCGTTCCCGTTCCACGGAAAACGGTTTACAGGCCATCGGGGAAATCATTCCTGCATCCGACACCAGCCACTCTACGTCTGACTATTTGAATTGTGATAGATATGCACGAAAGACACGGACAACAATCCGGACTAGCAGGTTGTCGTACACGACGGTGTCTCTAAGAACCTGTAAAATTTAAAGAATCGGTATTATACAGGGTGCGCGTGAGTAATAACACGATTTTTATTTTGTTTTTAGATTGGCTTTGGTGTAGTAATATTAAAACTCTTAAAAACAAACATGTTTATGTAGTGCACTGTCCAAAAACTCTCCAAATTATGTATAGAATATTATTCGTCTTATGACCCTTATTTATATAAATTTCTTATAATTAATTGGATTGGGGTATAAAGAAACACGGTTTCATGTTATTAAGCTGCCAACGTTTTGGAAAAATTTGTTTCCTTCTTCAGGGCTCTATAAGAAAAATAAAACACTAACTTTACGTATACATTAATTCACAATCTAAATAACCCATGTAAAACATACTTATTATAGTTAAAATTATAAGAGGAACATCCCCAATTTTTTATTAACAATATGTTGTTAATTCCCAACATATACACAAATAATGAAAATAAAACAAAGATAAAATGATTCGTAATTTAGATAGGTATTCAAAACAAATGAAAATCTGTTTTCTTGTTTTATTATAAAAAAAAACGAAATTAGAAAAGTATTTCTAGATAGATATTATGCTGGTGGTTATTACTTTGTTTTCATGAAATGAATGATGTTATGTACATAATAGTAGTCCATCAGAATGTCACGTTTAATTTTAATTCTTATAAGGTCCTATGTGTGAATGATAATTATGAAAAAAGACCTTCCAGAAAATGTTGTGGATCAAAAAGCTCAATAATGCACTTAATAAAAGAACAGACGTAACATATTAAGTCTTATGTACTATAACATCCATCATTCCATGAAAACAAAGTAAAAACCATCATTATAATATTTATCAGCAACAAAGAGGCAAAACAGCAAGTATAGCCGAAAATAGTTCAGATTTTTACCATTTATTTTTTTATATGGTCCGAAAGAAAAGTACACCATGTATCGGATAGCATCTTTCTCTACGAATTCAATGATGTGTCACATCTTAGATGCATATTACATAATGATATGATGGCGTAAAATTTTATAAAATGATACTTAATCTAGTGATATAGAGAATAACGAATACATTTTTAGCATTTATTTTATTCTATATTCTCGCATTACTGCTGCTCAGTTTCAAAAGTATCCTGATAAACTTGGTTTTTAATAAAACCCCAAACAAAAAAGTCAGAGGAGTTAAATCCGGGCAACGCGCTGGCCAGGACACTTCTCTGGAGGCTCCAATCTACCTTCCGAGAAATCGCTGAGAAAGATACTCTCGAACTTGCTCAAAGTTATGTGAAGGAGCACCATCTTATTGATACCGAAAGGTATTGTAGCGTTTTTCTGGGTTCTTTTGGGTGTGGATTAAAACTCTGGATTCCACAAAAAGAAATGCACTAATTTATTTAACTTGATAAAATATTTATATGCACCACTATTTATGTCTGACTAATTCTTATGTCACCATTTACTGTACTACACTTCACTCCGCTCTGCTACTCTACCGTATTCAGTACTCTCTGCCTCCATCTCCAGCCTGCCGAGTTATATATAGTCCCAATTGCTAGTTCGAGAAAGAACGAGTGTCCCACAAAGCGACATCTAGAATGTTCGAGATCAATCACTTCGCGTCGATCTAGAAGGCGATCCACTGTCACGGTCCTCACAGACGCCGCCAGGCGGCTTGTGCGGCCGTGGTTCGCGTAAAAGCAGAGATCGGCAATTAAGCTCTGGCGAGTAGGAGACTCGCCCAACAGATGGCGCTATTTGTCACAGTATTAACCTGTGCCAAAGGTAAAATATCTAGATCATGTTGCAACCATTGAAGATACCGACCTGTAGTTAATGAGTTGTGGTAAATAAATGAGCCTAATATTTTAGTCCTTAGTCCCACACCACATATTAAACCCAAAACGTTCTTGATGTGTCTGGATAGCCCGCAGATTTTCTTGAGCCCAGTAGTGAGTGTTGCGGCGATTAAAGATAACATTATTAGTCACAATACTCTCGTCCGACCATATTATTTTTGTAAGGCAATTGGAATCTTCTTCAAACGATCGTGTGGACCACTCTAAAAGTCCTGGCGCCGTTCGCTATCCCCTGGTCGTCCTTGTGAAATTCTGAATTTATAGGAGCGATATCTACCTTTACGCAAAATAAATTGGGCTGTGGATTTGGTTACTCCAACATGTTTGTCAATTTGTCTAGTTGATATCTCAGAGTTCTCAGCAACTGAGTTTCCTCTAAAGATTCTTTTTCCAGGACGTAACAGACTTTTTGAATGATCCATATTAATTTAAATTTCAAGGATTTCTAAGAAAATGTACTTACTTGGCTGCCTTGTTTCGGGAATTTAACAAGATACATTTCTGCAGTATTTTTAGTATTTAATATAATTTATTAATATTAACAATATACAATAATGACAATACTCACATGTATTTACATCAAGTCAAGCATTTGTTTTCAACGCCCACTTAAAAAAGAAATAAAAAAATCAGAATAGACGCATTTTTCTTTATAACCAAGAAACTAAATGTAACGTGTGATACATCGTTGAGTTCTTATAAAAGAATTCTATAAGATAAAGGGTACGTACTCTTTTTTCGGCCATATAAAAAAATGAAGTTGATGGTTTCTCAAAAACGAGCCGTCGGGCACAAAATTTAAAAACACCATCATGTAGAGCCTGAAAAGTGCCAATAGAAAAGTTCTATTAGCTTTTTGATATTTTTTAAAATAAAAATAGTTTGGGTTGATTTTAGATTCTCCCAAATCATCCATTTCCAAATTTAACATAAATATATCTCCCACAGGTATTGAGAACCCCATTTTTAGAATTAAATTTTTTTCTCAGAAATTCTGTTCGACCTCGTTCCATATAATTTCCTGATAAGTTGTCATTTGATATCTATTGCCATGAAGAAAAGTGTTACTAATTATTTTTGCTACCAGATTACCTCAAAAAAATAATTAATAGTAATGACCTGAGTATTTCATTTGTTATGCCGTATGTTTGAGAGGATTTTGTCAATGTTTGTCAACAATTATTAAATTAATCTGTAACAAGCTATTTAAATTAGAAATGGTAAGGATGGTTTTATTTTATAACAAAAATTCTGGGGTGTCCGGGGAAAAATCTGTCTCACCTAAACGTCCGACGTTCTTGCAGCTTCCGTCGTCGTTAATTTAGGTACTGGCAGCCCTAGTCATACCTAAGTATTTCGCTTTTGGCTCCAATGGTACGATGCTTATTTGAGGAGGGGCTGTCAATCTTGGGTTTGTAAGGTAAACGTGAATCGATTTGAATTCGTGCAGTTTGATTGTCCACCCCATTTCACTAAATTACTGGTAGCAGTCTGTACTTTACTAACAGAACTTAATAGATCTTTGTCAGTTCCAATCAATGTTGCATCATCTGCAAATGCTGCATATGTTACATCGGACGTAGAGTCGCGATGACAGTATGGAATTCGGTGGCTTTCAAAGAAAATCAAGTTGTAGGTTTTTTGGAAAATCGCAACTTGAAACTAGTTTCCTGAATATCCTGAATAGTTGCTCCCATCATCTGAAATCTGAAGCTTATATTTTAGCTCAATCAGAATTTAGATTAAAGCTTTTTTAACTAAGTGATCCACACTGAACTTGAAAGTCATCGCGAAAACTTGCCTCTTCAATGTAGGTTAAGGAGTGGTATAACACTTTTGAACACAATAGTAGCAACTTTTGACTAAACTTTTAGCTTTAAAATGAGCTTTAATATAAATAATTTTTCTTTGTTACAGATTCTGTGTAGGCGACAGATTCTATCTATGTGAAAACAAAATACTCTGCGAGTATGACTACGAAGAACGTTTAGTATTTGCGAATATGGCGTACAATCCACCATCTTTATCGCATCTCAAAAGGCAGACGTCGATACCTCCGGTAAGAACCAATTCTAATTACTTGAAATAGTATTTACTGGCTACGTTATTTTAAGTATATTGTTCCAATAATAAAATTCATTTAGTTAATAATAGATTTTTTAGACGTGCTGAGGTTCATTAACAAAATCTCGTGGCACTGAAATGAGTAAACTCGAATGTAATGACTTTCACATTCAAAAAATGAGAGCAAACTGCTGCGACTACTTGTAGTACGACGTCCTCGTAAGGAAAGGAGATTCTGCCTTCTCCGTGTGCTTGATTTGGAAGTCATCCCTCTGAGAGATAACGGCCATATTCACAAAAAACTCGATTATAGGGATGACGATTGGCATTCCGGTACCTCTCACAATAAAGCCTTGCTGAAGAACTAGCATTGCATCTACATTCCCCATAAATGAGATGCATGTTGGCGTATTCCATTACGGTGTTCACGGTCATGGAATTAATAAAAGTGGCGTTACTATTTGTCTGGCTGGCACTACGTAGAATGACTGTCCTTCACCCCATCTAAGAAAAAAATTGAAATTTGAAATAAGGACTGAAAGATCATCACAGGGTAGTGATTTTTCCGATTTTATTTTTAAAGCCCATAATTTCAAAAACCAGCATTTTATACTTTTCTGATAACTATTATGATTTGGCCGATCCCCCGTTTCTGGCTTGACTTCGACTTCTGGGTCACCCTGTATAAATGAATAAAAACTTGTGTAACGCGCTCGTTATTTATTAGCCAACCCGATAAAACGTTAAAGCCAAAAAGGGAAGTGCAGAACTATTCAAAATATAATAAGAAGAATACATCGACTGCATTATAACGTTTCCTTATTCTCCTTAGGTGTCACTCCCCGGCCACCTCCTGAACGGCGTAACCCCAGGCACCGCCCCAGGCGGCGGTCGACCGCCCCCACTGCCTCCCAGCAACGGTGACATGAACAACAACATGTCAGGTGGAGGAGGAGCAGGCCCACCCACTCCAGGCGGTGCCAACAGCCAATCGCCGTTTGGATCCGCCCACAAGAATGGCCCCCCTCCACCCATGCAACTGGGGACGGCAACCAGCTGAAAGTACTACATGCAACAGCGCAGACTGTGATGATGCAACTGTTACTAGGTGATAGTGATAAGGTCGTTGATTGTAGGTTTAAGTTGTTTTCGTGGAGGAAAACCACTTGGTGACTGAAAATGTGCAATAAGGGCTATTCTAGTAAAAGTGTGATTATTAGTTTGGACTTCTCACGTTGAAAATGTCGATTAGCATCGAATCTTATACACGGTGTTAATATAGTATCTAACCAAACTTAAAGCGATGATTGCTATGGGGGTTTTTAGACCAATTTGAGAGTTTATACAGGATGTAAAGTTATGGGTGGATCAACCGAAGCCAGACGGTAACGGACCTCACTAACTTACTAATTGGACAGATCTCTAATTTAACTATGTACAGTCAGAACAACAGGTCTACCATTTTCAAAAACGTAGATCAGGTAATGCTTCGTTTTTATGGCATAGGGTGTTAAACTGTTTTCGAATCTATAGATTTTTCGTAGAAGTGTCAATTCTTCTTCAATCTGTAATGTTTGTTGATTTTCAACAACCACAGTCGTATCGCTGGAAATTTAAATCAAGCTAATGCAGCAAAACACGTCAAAAACCTAAACGTATGAAAAATATATTAAATTCCACCAAATTCAAACATAAGCGGCTAAAACGCAGTTACGACTAACAAAAAAACAAACTTTCGATGAAGAGTGACACTGTATCTCTATGAGAAAAATTCCTGAATGACTGAGTTAATGAATACTTTATTCCTTTTAACATAAATACAATCTTACAAGAGGTTGGGTTGGATATTTTAAGACTAGAAACAGTATTCAAATAAGTACACCTAACCTTTCGGAGAAAGATTCGATATCAACAACATTTCTCTCAGTTCAGCCAGTCGTATTTTTATGATACATGGGGCATTCTGAAAATATGTGTGTTAAAGTTTAATACATTTGCATATTCCAGATTGTATCAAGTTCTCAAGGATTTATAATGTGTCCCTGAATGAGAATTCAAGCAAAGAATTATTTGCCACTACACGTGTTACAGAGATGGAAATCTTGAACATGTATTTCGGATAGTTCCTCTTTAATGTGAAGCTGTTAAAAAATGTAGGGAATGTGGAGGTAATGATTGCAAGTTTGTCTCGTTGAAACATGAGAATTTCATAGGTTTCTATAATCATATAATACAAATTCCTGCGGATGCCTATGCCTATATTTATATAAAGCTTTTGCTTCCCGTATGTCTGTCTCCAAGTCTAAATCTATATGACACTGATGAGCTGCAAATGAGCACGGAACAACGCTGTCTGCGGTTGGTCATGATTATAGAGACGGAAAACAAACATGTCCGTTTGCGTGTGTCCATCTATAAATATATGCATAGATAGCCCAGTGCTGATTTGCCTCATGAAAACTTGATACTTCCTCTCCTTGACGGGACGACCGTAACGGTGGTGCGACATCTATCTGTGCGTAGGTCTCAGTAGGTAACGGTCGACAGATTTTCACCTACTTGCGCACAATTTGTAATTTTATTCTGAGGATCACCCAAAGTAATCGCGCTTTGGACAGGTATTTTACTAATACCCTGTATACAAAATGACTCAAATCGTCAAATTATTTCCCACTTAGTTACAAGTAAACACTGGTGCAATCGTAGGAAATGAAAATTGACGAGGAACGTCGTAATCGTAACTAACTGGATGTGTTGAACCTACGATGTGAAAGACCGTATCCAAAGATTGGACAGTATTTTCGATACTTTCAGATTTAGTGGTCTCCAAGAGGTTTACCTCGATGTTACTATTATAGGTGATATCTGATCTTTGAGTCATCAATGTGCCATACAAATATAGAATCATCTTAGTATGTATTTCAAGCAGATCTGAAAGAAAAGGAACATGTTACCTCTTTTGTGTATAATGTAATAAGTTAATCAAGGAGAAAGTTTCTCATTTCAAATCAAACGTGATTTTTCCAGGTTATGAAAGACATCCATTCTTTGGACCATTACATTTGATCTGAGGAAACTTCCTCAATTCTAGTACTATCTATAAACCACCTACATATATTTACGCTATGTACATATTTTAGAATAAACTTGATCGTTTTCCGATCAAAGCTCAACATGTATACTATGTCTAAGCATTAGTGCTATGCAATTTGTTCATAATAATTATCCTTTTGTTATCTTTCATAGTAATTGTTCTGTAACTATGTATATAAATGTTATTTCGTTTTCGAAAAAAGTAATTCAATATTGCTTCAGAAACCTCTATGTTAATGTAGATAAGTTACAAACTTCCGACTTCCGAGGTTTCAATCACTTTTACATCAGATGCAGTTACGTTTTGTTCCTCTCAACTAGGGTGACCCTACCATGCTGTGAGGTGTGATGATAAGATGATTGGGTTCCCGCTACACTGTATATATTTATAAAACTGTACTATACAATCGTTAGATACTGCAAAATGCATGTTTATAATGCCTATAGGTCAACGTTATAGGAGAGAAAGAGGATCATGCCAACGGATCTAGTTATTGTAATTGTTTTTTTGCAAATAAAAATAACGTTCAACTCTATTCTAAAAATAACATTTTTTCAGAAATTTTAAATTTCGACTAGTAAGAACTGTTTGAATTAACAACGATAAAAGATCCGATGCTAAGATTTTCTCAGTTATTTTATTTTGATTCTGAATATCACCGTGTAAAAAGGTTTTGTATTATTTCTTATTGTGAACATAAGGAAATGTATTGTCATATTTAATCGAATCATAGAACTATGCGAAATATTCTGTTCAACTAACTACTTTGTACTTTCTTAGTTGCCATATGTGTCCGCTAGTTGCCAAAATTATTAACTCAATTTGAAAAAAATCAATAAACACTATTTAGAATCCTTGAATATATTTCAACAAAATTTGAAAGTCTCCATGTCTTAAATATGTCATTGCCATCTATTTATAAATGCTCTTACTGTTAGGAGAAATCTCAAGTGCAATACTGGAGCTAAAAACTTTTTAAACGTAATGCCGTTTTGTCTACCATCTTGTATTTTAGCAGGTGTGTCCCCAAAAAGACCGATATTTTCATATGATCAAGATTATTTGCCAATTTAGGTACAGACCATATAGTTTATTTACCTTTTTTAACGTATCCATGTGTGGCAAAAGTTCTCAGTCTGATCAATTACAGAATGTATGAAGGGAGCCAGTGGTAACCGATACATATTTTTTATTCTATGTAGGATCTCATGCTAGACTAGACCATTACAGGAGCAGTTGTATCAAATGTACCTGCCAATTTTTAACTACTTCACACAGAGCAGTTGGAGTACTACTATGTAATACTTTCATTGTAATTGATCATTGAGAAGTCTGTACTTATTAATGGTATAATGATTGCGCCCACGCACGTTTACATCATCATCAGAATACATTAGATCTCATGTATGTTTTATTTCCACTTCATTATTAAGCACACCATTATTGAACCAAAATATGAAAAAAACTTTGACAGCGCAAGCACGAGAAGTAGCTGTTATACTTTGTTGAGAAAATACTCACTGTAAAAGTTTTTTATACATTCCACAATACTGTATTTTAGCCTAATTCTGTTTAAGCTGCAGAAACAATATGTGTAGATTTGTCGTTACTGAACCAAATTATTTGACCAAAGATAAATAAATATTTGAAGAAATTTCACTTGTTTTATTTTATACAACCACGAATACCAGCAATGGCCGCAGCAGTCACCAGGCAAAAACTGTCAGCAGGATGTACTTACAAGTGCAGTAAAACTAACAACCCTAAGGAGAAACCATATGACAAATACAAAATCAAGTCACATTGAGTTTTGAGCAAAGACCTCAAAAGATCTAGAGAATTTGGATTTTCTACAAAAAGATTCTGGATGAAGAATATTAAAGAAGATATACAAGGTGTTTCGTAACTACGGTGCGAAACTTCAGAGGGGAGGAGTTAGGTCGTTTTAAAAAAGAAACTTCCCATGAACATATGTCCAGAGTTGCTTCGTTTCAGAGAAACAGGCGATGTAGTTTTTTTTTTGAGAAAAAAGTACGACAATGAATTTTTGTAGTTGTTATATTTTTTTCAGATTAAGCAACAAAAAATATAAAGTTTCGGTTTCTTGTCTTTCCTTCATATCTCTTCGATTTCGAGAAAAATAATAAAATTCATTTTTACTCTTTCTAAAAACTATACATGGAGAAAGTTTATTTTCATAGTGAACAAGATGCGAAGTCAACAAGAGGCCAACAAGTATTTTTAGTTGATCTAAGAAAATTAAAAACTAAATAAAGTCATTATCGTACTGTTTTCTCAATAATATGGCTGTAGTGACCACTGGACCACATAATTTCAATCTATTCAGAGCCAAATTGGAGTTTTTCTCAGGAGGGTGAGGGCAATCATCGACAAGAGAACCTGTCCCCAACACTTTTTGAAGAGCAGGGGATAGCAAATTTTCCCAATAAGGGCGGAGGCAATTCTCAAAATTATACACAAAATCATGCTAAATATGCAAATTTCAAGGTTGAACCGGGTTCCCCGAAGAGGGGTATGCAGAGCTGCTATAGTTGTAATCACCGTTCTTGGCGGGTCAAAGTAGGACTACCAGTATCCCTTTATATATCTCCACCTCCCTCATACATACACATGCAACCTGCTACCCCTGTGTGTGAACGTTTGTTCGGTAAGCTCAAAGACATGCATTTTTTAGTTGTGTGTCTCCGTCCGAAAACTTTGTCGTTACATATGAGTGTCCTTCAATCACATTTGTCAGAGTGACTTTCTTGACATCGGCGTGCAATTTGGCTTGTCCTGTTATCAATCTTCAATATAAAATTGTACAATGCCCGGAAATACGATCAATGGAGAAGGCCGACAGCTCGTGCTAAATGTATTCACGCGTACTGGAGAGAGTAGCAGATGCGCTGAAGATTAGTCCGGAGACTAGATCCGTTTACTTATTTCATATGGCGTAGATGCTGTAGCCGCCAAGAACGGTGACTATAACTATACTCGCTCCTGCACACACACACATGAATTGGATGATAAAGGACCATTGTTTTCATCCACTTTCTGAAAAAGCTAATATAAACTGTCGACATTGTAGATGAATCTTCATCCGCTAGTTTGTTTTATATCGACGATCGACACAGGTAAACACAAATCAGATGCCGATGACAGGCACGTTGCCGTACTGACAGTGAAAAGCATAAATGTGGACACATACTTTGACGAGAAAATGTTCATGGTGGTGAAACAAAACTGAATGACGTATGTCTTTTGAGTTTACACAAACGTTCGCGCATAGAGGCGATTGCAAATCTGTGAGGGGATGAAGGAAAGTAGTTATTCCTTTTTTATTTCGAAGCAGCCGCGCAGGCAGAAGCCTAAATGCCGGGACACCGCGGCTGCTATGAGGATCCCAAAGAAACTTTTTTAATCCGATTTTTGAACTGCTTAAGGTTAGAAGAACTGGGAAAAGCTTCCTCTTGTAGATTGTTCCACAATCTCGAGATAAAGTCGTATCGGCCAGTTCTGGATGTACGAAGTTCGACACGGTTAGGATGGGAGGCCAAAGTCAGGCGAGTCTGTCTGGCCGGCGCACCTCGCGGCGGCATCATGGAACAGAGCTCTGAGGAGCAAAGTCTGATGGTGCAGCGGTAGAAAAGAGCTAGATCTCTGACGGCCCACCGGTGCAAAAGGGTCCCGAGACGTTCTGTTAGAGAAGAGCCATCGGTCAGTCGGACAGCCCTCCTCTAGACAGCATCAAGCATAAATAATGTAATCGGGGCGGCAGCATCCCAAACGTGTGAGCAATACTCGAGGTTAGGCCTTATCTGGGCATGGTATAGAGTGAGGTCATGCGGAGAAAAGTACTTCTTAGCCCTAAACAAATAACCTAGCTTTTTCCCAGCAGCTGCCGCTATTGACGAGATGTGTTCGTGCCAAGTCGTCGGTGATCTGGACTCCAACCAGCCGAAATGAAGCAGTAAACTGTACAATATTGTTGCGTCCCCAAGCAGTGATAACCTCCAGGTCTCTCGTCAGAGAGGAACTCGGCGCAAGTCTTATTTTTTCCAGCTCAGCGGCCGAGATTGACTTGTCACTCTGAATTCCTGCATGTAGAGTGCTGTCATCGGCGAAGCTGTGGATTGGGTTGATCGTGCAAGAAAGGAGGTCGTTGAAAGGTGAGAGAAACAGTGTCGGAGCCAAGACTGATCCCTGGGGAACACCCTGTAGTTTTACTGTGACCCGCCAAAAATCATAAAGTCTTATACCATAGTATATGTGAACTTCATATTCATGATCACCAACTCACTAATTCTCTATCTCTTTAACTTTTCCAAGTACTTTTGTCGCAGTATATACAGGGAAAACCAAATTTATCAGACAGCTTGCATATTTTCAATATGCATCTTAATTCAAGGAACTGGTGTTGAGCTTCGCTATCCAGCCGGCTGCTATCTCTTTCTAACATATGTATGTGTCTATGTACATTTCTCTCTCGTACACATTGAACTCAACCTGTCAGACAAATTTGGTTCTCAGTGTATATGAAAGGTGAGGTGAGATCCACGAACACGTCTGCAAAGACACCATATTAACAGTGGCGTACGATTTGTCATGCTGCTCTTCCATTTTGTTACTTGTTGCTTGGTTAAAATAACGTGGATAACTGAACAATACTAAACATAACATTTACTTGCATCACATATATATTACATCTTATTTCTTTGATTTTTCTGTTTTCACTTCTTCTGTTTCTTTGGGTTTAGCGTTCCTGAAGTTGGGGAACTGTTCCCATGGAGCACTCAGCTCAAATCTTCTAAATTCTTGTGCCAACTCCAAAGGTTCCACTACCACTCTCTTCTTTTCATCGTCGTATCGAACCTCGACATATCTGTAATGAAAAACAATGCATATTATCCAGTAGGAATGTAAAAGTAGATATGGCGAGGGGTGCTACAGAAACTGGTATCATCGGAAAAACTGTCGTCGCTGTCAGATTATTCCCCTAAGTTGATAATTTGCTCAAGTCAGGTAGTATTGCACCTACATTTAATGCATATATCAAGAATATCTCTTTTAGAAAGTATATAAAATAATTGTTCATTTATAAAAAATTAACTATTTGAAATGACATGTTTATGACTTTCAATACACGGTAGGCCATTCAACCAAATCCTCAATTCCTTCTTAAAAGAGAATATGTTATGTACTTATTTGATATTCAAAGAATGATATTATATAGCTTTGGAGCCAGAGATGAATATATCTCTGCATTAGATACTGGACTGTGCCTTGTATGATATTCGCGTTCAATTTGTTTGTTTTCACTTCTGTTCTTATAATAGTACATATATATACATTGATATGAAAAAAATATAGTTGTATGTCAAAATTTTTTTTTTGTAAAAAGTATCAGAAGGATATACAGGTACAGGTTTTTGAATATAGTTGGGAGCACATATCTTTGAACTACCTCAAGATTATGAAGATGTGTTGCTAGGCATATGTCAAATGACTTTCAACTAAAGCATGATACATACAGTAGAACTCCAATTTTCCGAATTAATGGGGACCGGGACCCATTCGGATAATCAAATATTCGGATAATCGGATTTTTTTTTTAAAAATTGCCATTGGAGAGAAAAATGCTACGTTTTGATATTGCACTATTTTTTTTATTGAATTAAATGAAAGAAACATGATATTTTCACATGTTTTAAATATAAATACATACATAAAATACATAAAATGTATGTACGTACATACATATGTACAAGTTTAGAAATAAAAATCATTGTTTTTTAAACATCTCCGTCAATGTAAGCTGTTTTGCGTTCTTCATCCGTTTTCGGGCAGCCAGGTCACGCATTCGCTTGACGGTGAGCAGTTGCAAGTGGTCACACTCGGGCTGACGCTCCATCCACTTCAAAGCAGTCTCGAGGCCGGCAAATGCTTCACTAGCTGATGGTCCAGCGTCTACTTCAACATCAGCAGAAAGTTCTTCTCCCACTTCCACTTCAACATCTTCTCTCACACTTTCAACAATTTCATCGTCATTGAGAATTTGAAAACCAGGGTCAGACGTGTCACAAGCCATCCACTCTCCTACATCTTCAGCACTTACTTCTGTACAACCAGGAATTTTTACAATCATTTTTCTTATTTCCTCTAGTGACAACGCATCTTCATCATCTTCATCCTCTCCATTTTCTTGTTTCTCATTTTCTTCAGATTCTTTTTTTTTGTTCTTCTCAGACGGTAGGCCTTTCAGTTTATTCCACGCACGTCTTAGCGTCACTGCCGTAACCAAACTCCAAGCTTCCGCTACCATGTAACAGCAGTCCTTTAAATTTATTTTGCTATGATTTGCCAAAACCAATTCTTCATCTTCAGCACCTTCGATCAGCAGTTTTCTCAGCAGTTGCCTTCTGTAATGGCGCTTCATTGTTTCAATAACAGACTGGTCCATGGGTTGCAGCAAACTTGTAACATTGGGAGGCAAAAACGTCGTTTTAAACTGCCCTTTCTCTCTTTCCAACAGTTCTGCTGTAGGATGAGTGGGTGCGTTATCAACAATTAAAAGCACCTTACTGCCTTCTTTTCCCACCGATTTTTGGTGCTTTTTCACTTCAGGAATAAACACTTCATCATACCATTCGGTAAACAAAGCTGCAGTCATCCAGGCCTTGGGTTGACTTTTGTAGAAGAGTGGAAGTTTTTTTACGTTTTTAAATGCTCTTGGATTTTTTGATTGTCCTATCAAAAGAAGTGGTAGTTTATGATTTCCAGTGGAGTTGGCACAGTTAAGCACTGTAACACGTTCTTTACTGACCTTATGTCCAGGGGCACTAGATTCCCTTTTAGAAGCCAAAGTGGTTTTTGGTAATGCTTTCCAAACAAGGCCAGTTTCATCGGCATTATAAACAAACTCCGGATCATAGGATTCTGCTGCAGTTTTAAATTTTTCAATAAAATTTTCAGCAGCTGCAGAGTCTGCTGAAAGCTTCTCACCAGCCAAATCTAACTCGCGTACACCATGCCTGAATTTAAAGTTCCTTAGCCAGCCGTTACTAGCCTTAAAAGATGAATAACCAAGCTTTTCTGCTAAGATTTTGGCTTTTTCACAAAGGATTGGACCTGAAATCGGATTTCCCATAGAACGTTGCTGCAAAAACCATTTAAACACGGCATCTTCCAAATTTTTGTTGGTTGCTGTCTTCATTGTTTTCCTGGAGGAACTTCCATCTTCATTTTCAAGCACCGAAACAAAGTTTAAAAGTGTTGACTTACTGTTTTTAATGTCACAAATTGTTGCTTGTCCAACACCATAAATCTCAGACAACTTCTTACCCGTTACACCTTTATCGAGTTGCTCTATAATTTTCAGTTTGTCCGCTAACGATAGCACAACACGTTTTCTTTTCGAAGCCATGGTGAAAAACAATACAGTACAATAGTATTGTAAGCCGTAGCGAAAGAGTAGCGTCCTCGAGCAAGGTCAATAGCACACTGACTATATTGGTGCGCCGTGACTGCAATGTGCCGGAACTGGAGTGGGGACTCATACCACGTGTTGTTGTGCCTACACTGACGCCGCGGACTTTGGACAAATTTAAAGTGATTCGGATAATCGGCGATTCAGATAGTCGGAGTTCGGATAATTGGAGTTCTACTGTATATACAAATTCTCAAATAATGTTAAAATTAAAGTATATGTGAAATGTATTTTAATTTATAAATAATCTTATTTTATTCACTGAATAATTTAGATGTAAATTCCACTTTGGATTTTCATCAACATATACTCCTAAATACTTCACATTTGAAGACCTTTTTATTTCAATTGCCTCTTTGTTGACTGAGAATGTATTCGATGTATAATTAGGTAAATATTTCGTATTACTGGAAAAACATTGTATAATTTTCACGAAATCCTCTTTTATATTGTTTTGGAGAGTATGGCAGTCATTTGCTTTATATCGAAATACTGTATCATCAGAGAAACTTTTTGCCACACATACCCATAGCCATTGACTAAAACAAAAAAGAAATGGTATAATTGAATGAGAATATGTGCCATAGAGAAAGTTTTCCGTGCATTCAATACTATTTTCAGTGAATATATTCCAAATAGTACCACAAAAACTAAATTTCCTGTACAATGTCTGACAACATCGCTGTATCCCGTCCGCATTCCTTTGCCTTGCATTATCTAGCAAAATTGGAGAATCCGTTGAAGTAAATTTCAACCATGAGGTCTTTAAGATACCAATGGCAAGAGTTGATTTTAAATATTGTTCACTATTCAAAAAAATTATGGGAGGAAAAATTTTGTTGTGATTTTTCACAGGCTGTATTTTGGTGAAAAATGGTGATATCTAAACTTTCAAAAAACCATTTTGAAGCTTTAAGATTCTAGTTTTTAGGTTTTTCAACTGAAAAATTTTAGGAGCACGGTTCTCATGCAATTCTAACAGATATCACAAGAAAAAGATTTGCAAAGTTTGTTACACCATAGTATAGCTCAGATAGTCCATTTGTTCAGCTTCAATACCCCCACAGAGAATGTAAGTGGTATTTCCGAAAACTGGAATAATTCTCCTCCTATGACATTTAATTGCAATGTATGAGGTAATTTTTTTCTGTTTCCTCAGTATTGCTTTTAAGGAAGTCAAAAAAGTTACTTTTTGTCTCGTTTTGGTAAGTCGACCGTATTTTTTGAACTGCTATTGAGAAGGTAAATATGTTTAGGTTCTTTATACCCCTAATTACCCTGCAAGACGGCAGATCGATCCATTGTACTATTTCTCTGGACTGATAAATTCCTAAAGGCGCCTTTGAGACTCAAAAAATATTTTCTAGATCCGCCCCTGGTCAGTATTTTTGTTTTTTGAATATTCCATGAATAATTGAATAAATGTTTACCAATTGAATTTTTAAAAATTGAAGGTGTTACAGACATCCAATAGTGACAACAAAAGAAGAAAAATGATTTTTCCTTTTTCAACCAGATACAAAAATGTTGCTCGTTTGATTTCTTTCAAATTTTGACCAAACGGTTCGGAGAAACCGTACAATGGAGCGATCTGCCGTTGTGAAGGGTTATAAGGGGTACACTGAGGTATAAAAACCTAAAAACGTTAGCCATTAGCTGGTCTTCCAAAACAAAGCAAAAAGTATTTTTTGTAACATTTTTAAAATCAACACCAACAAAACAAACAAAAAAATTCTCAAAGATTGGAATCAAATCTTATAGGAGTATTATTCTAGTTTTAGAAAATACCCTTACATTCTCTGTGCAATCACTGATTACCAAGATAGCAGTGGTTGATGACAAAAGGATCCTTTTTCATTCAAAGTCGGAATTTTAAAAACACGGTATTGAAGCTGAATAAACGGGCTATCTGATCCATATGATGAACTAAAATAAAAAAAGGTTCAAGCCCGTTTTGCAAAAAATATTTATTGCACCATCTGATAGAATTGCATGGGAACCGTTACTTCTAAAATTTTTGGTCGAAAAAAACATGAAAACTAGAATATTGAAGCTTCAAAATGGTTCTTTCAGTCTAGATACGACCATTTTTCACCGAAATGAAACCTGTCAAAAATCACCGGAAAATTTAGATTTTTTTCTTTCTCCCTTAATTTTTTTTTGAGTAGTGTAAATAAAACCCAAATTCAACTCAAAAATGAAGTTCATACCCGCTAAGTGGGAAATCTTTTCTGAAGGGGTGTCCTTCAAATCCATAGTCAGTAAGAATCCTACGAAGATCTGGATGGTTTGAGAAGAATACACCATACATGTCCCATATTTCTCGTTCGTACCAGTTGGCTGCCTTGTATATGTCATTGCATGACTCAAGTGGTGTCAGTTCGTCAGTGTATGTCTTGACACGGATACGGGCGTTGAAACGCAGAGAGAGGATGTTGTAGATCACTTCAAATCTGAAAATAAATTATACATGGACTCTCTCCACCTAAAAATACGCATCCTAGAAAAAAAAATTTCAAATGAAACTTGTGGGGTTTCAAGCAGTCAAAATAATGGTAACCTTGACAATGACCTTGCCACGACGTTTAAGGTCATTACAAGGTCATGTGAACATTTCCAAATATAATTTCCACTATTTACATCCGAATTAAAGAGGGGGAAGTCTTACATCGGAATATGACCACCACCATGACCTTGAATATTTCCTTCAAGCCATTACAAGGTATAATCAAAACATTGAAGGAAATTTGCTCTAGCATATTTGACTGGCAAGGTCAAGTTGAGAGTATTTGTACATTGAATTGGGCTCAACAACCATAAAAATGCTACAGTATATTATATTAATCTTCTTCTTCTAGAAGGGTCTACCTAAATGTACAGTACATTGCATTAAGAAATGGACAGGATTTGATAATTTTGTCTGAATTGAATGTTCCATATTTTATTATATATAGAATTTGGAATGTACCGCTCAAAAAAGTGCCTGGGGGGAGCTCAGGCTTTATTTTAAGAAGACCGTCTGTCTCGTAGGGGGACGGGGTATCGGAAATTGAAGAGCGGGGGATCCGCGATTCAGATATGAAGACCTCGAGGATCAACGATTCAAAATTGAAGAGATGGAGGGTCGTATGCAAACTGGAGAAAAACACAGTCGACATTTTTTTTTAAGCTCAGATGTTTCAGAGCCACAGGACACGCGCTCGATTCGCCACTGCAAAGTAAAAATGTTCCAAGATGACGCCCAGCCATCACTTGTAATTTTTAATTGCCATTTTACGCCAAAATTTAGTATTTACAGATCAATTTCAACACAATGAATTTCATCTTGCTAACTTGAACAGCTCAAAAAATAAGTAGGGGAGACCTTTTTGAAAAGAACAATATAATAACTTTATAATGTTTCACAAATATGTAATAGCTCATCATTATAATTTTTGATGCTATATAGAAACAGTAAGTAAAGCGGAGACAGCTACTGTACAGCTTGTAGGAGGTTTTGGGATATATTATTGAATAAAAAGAGGTCAACATACTGACAAAAAATTCTGACATAGCAATAGTGCAAATGAAATGCTCTTTGATTAAACATCAGTAACTTGAAAATACAAAACGAAACTACAATGAAAGGTTGTTCTTTCAATCTTTTTTTCCACACTCACTGGAATCTTGCAGTGCTAGTTTCTGCGTGGTTGGTGACTGCTAAAAATTAAAGTCACCTCTGTGCCAAGAGAACAAAAAGTTGGAAACACCTGGCAGCAAATGAACTCCTTCAGCTTTACATTATCGATGAACATGTTGCAAATTTTAAAAAAATAGGTAACACTATCTGCCACATAATTTTTACTTGTACTTGATTGATGCAGTGGTTAAGGGTTTTAATATTAATAAAGGGTTAAATTGTAATTATTTAGAATGAAATAGAAATACCAAACATAATTTGCTGGTTGGAAATAAATACATATCTATCTATCTTAATATCAACCACTTTACATTGGCTAAACAACTCCCTCTAGCATACACAAACAATACTGTAGGTAGGCTGACTTTCATCATCATCCTCAGCTACAGATTCACATCAATGATTTCATATAATTAAATTCTGACAAATATGAAGCTACATAACATACTAATTTTACTAACGTTTCTTAGTTTTGTGCATGCCTTAAAAAAGATTAACTCGAAATTGTTTTAAAATATGCAATAAAACTCAGCTTAAGATGCTATCATAGCAAAACATGGTGTTTAAAATTATATGTTGCAAGAAAACTTTGTAGAGACTGAAGCTCACAAGGTCTATATGGTCATTAAGGGCTAATTGTTGGTACTTCAATTTCAACAGATTATGTTTCTCATTCAACAATGACAACGGCAAACATATGTTACTGCTTCCTACACACAAGTATCGTTCATTATTTACCTGTTAGTCCTACTAGGCACATCCATGCCCGCAATATCAACCAAATTAGAGAATTGGCAGCTATGGTGGTCTTTCAAGAATTGCAAGACAGGCAAGACACCTTCAGGGACTATAAGAAGCTCCAGTTCATCCCCTGCAGCTATTTGGACCTTCTGAATATATTTTGGCAAACATTCTGCTACGTATCTGCCGAAATCTTTCAATTGATCAACTGAGGACTGGTTGATCTTCCTAAACGAGGGCCTTGTCTCTTTTGGGGTCTCTGTCACTTCGGTAGCGAAGGCTCGCGGAGCGTTTTTCTTCAACGAGTTCAGGAGGGTTGTAGAGCGTGCAGCTACCGGTATTAGTCTACGAAGCACAGACATTTTTTAGTTTCCTTGATAATATTGGTTGATAAAAGCTAAAAATCTCGGCAAATGTTATCTAACACCTCCAAGATGATATTTGACATGTTTAGAAGTTTCCTGACAAGGTTCGCAATGTTCGCATCTGTCAGTCTGTCACTGTCATTGTGAATTGCTGCTAAATTACGAGTACTCGAAGCTCCCACGAAGTACGTTCGCAGTACTCATGCGCTGTTGCCAGATAAGTAATCTTTTCTAGGTTATGCCAACGAATCATTGATTCCGCCTTCCGTTATAAGAACAAGTAGTTTTTTGTTGTCGAATGGGAAAAACTAAATGAGTGAGAAATTGAAGAACCTTAGTTCGCAATTGTGTTTCGCAATGGCAGCCTACAGCGCAATGGACCAGCAATTTCGGGATATGAAGGTAGACGAAACACTCATACGATATTGCAACGAATGTGATAATGTAAGTAGCAACCTATATATAATAAAAATAAAGATATTTGACTAAGGTAATTTAAATTGACATTGTTTCTGATCGTAACATCAGATCTACTTTTTGTGAAGAAGCGAATGAACCGAGTTGAAAACTTAATTTCTCCTAGGACATGGGTAGCGTGTAACCCAATTTTTGCATACAGCTCCTTAATATTTAATATTTTTCATCTTACGAATAACATATATGTGTTGCATTTCAAAAATATTCTTTGTACTCAATTCGTGGTTGGTACATTATTTTTGGAACTGATAGGTAGAGAGTCATAACTCCAAAAAAAACATGTAGCTAAAAATGAAATAGCAATATCTCGGATGCATATTTATACATATAGAGCACAAAAAAATCACAATCCAATAAAGATTAACTACCCTACTCTACATTACTGGAGCTCTTCTTTTCTTAAATAAGTTTTCAACGACACTGTATAATTCTACAAAAAAATTATAGCGGGCCTCAGACGAAGGTATCCATATGAAAGATCAACTCACTGAAGTCGTCAAGGGCGAACTATATTTTTTACACACTGTATAATAATGCTAAAATGATATTTCTAGCTCACAAAATGTAATGCTATCTGACTCTAAAAAACTGAGCTATCAAAAAAACGGTTTAGTTTCAATATTATATGAGTACCTACAGCCTTATCAATTTTGGTACTGGAGCATTTCGCATTTCACAAGAAAAACATGATACACTACATGAACGGTATTCAAACAGGACTACCTCTGCCTCGAAAGCTATTTTTTGCCTAGAGGATTTGGCTTTCCAAAAATATCATTTTCAATTCCTTAAAACATTTAAGAACATCTATATATTAATGTATCGTTTCAATTTATATGTCATCCTTTTCTGAATTGGTAATAGATTAGGTATTATTAATTTGTCTAGGTATGGTTCTTCCCCTATTTATAAAACTTAAATAATCAACTACAATTACTGCAGGCTATTTCTTTGAAATTCATGTGTAAAACTGTCTGAGGGACGCGAATCATTTACATGGGCTCCCATCAGGGGGCAAGAGGGCATTTGCCGCCCCTGGCATCCGCTTGAGAAATAAAATATACCTAATAGGGCACTTCTTAAGCAACGAATGGTGTATGTATTTTTTGTGTTCAAAACGTCCGAACATTACATTGCCACGCTGAAGCCCATAAAAAATAACACGTACATTTTGTTAAAGTTTTTCTTTAAAATCCACCATGTTTTATAAAATTTTAGAATACCCAGTGTTACTCGCACTGTCAAGACAAATCTAGAGACTTCTTTGCCAAAATCCTTCAAGCTGTTTAAGCTGTAATCCGTTAATAGTAACTTTCCGATTAAAATCCAACATTTCCATTTTATCAAACTTTAGTAAACCCAGCGCCACTTGAGCTGTGAAGACAAATCTTAGAGACACCTCATATGTCAAAAACCATCAAGCATCGAATTTTGACATATAAGCGCCCGTGGTCGTTTACCATACTTTATTGACATATACACCCTGTATAATTTGCCCTCAAAAGGACATATAACAACTGCCATTTTGCGTATCGTGCCGTCATATCAATGAAAAATAAGTATCCTTTCATTTCTTTGTCCCTTTCTGAAATATTATGATCAATTTCCTTCCTTCTTAGAAACGGACTCGGTCATTCAGAGATGCGGAGGATCTGTGGATTCCGTACGTAAGGGTCGGTAGTGCCACAATTGTCAAAATACTCATATGTGATAGACCAATCTGCTGATTCAAGGATGTAAGACCAATCTTCCAATACAAGATATTTATCGTTGAACGTTTCCAGTTATTCTTTTAAATCAACTTCGATGACAAATATTTATGACGGGCTGTCCGAGCAATAACAACATTCATCTCCACGACAACTGATCCGAATGATTAGTGCGCATAGTATATTAGCAAGAATACGCACTCCTTAAGTCAGGTTAGCCTAAGGTATTGTTAACATATGAGGGAATTGAGCCGAATTCACAAAAGAGAAGCATATCCTCCGAAGCATAAGGTAAAAGTATAAGGTCTTGCTTCGGAGAAGCTTCCGTATACAAGTACCTTGTTTTCATATTCATAATGATTACATTATAATCGCGAGGATATCCTCCAAGATGAAGTAAAAGGTTGACTGGTATTTGTATATTGAGTGACATGTCCTGACTTGTTCCAGCTTGTGGTTGACGTGGGAGTTCGTTCACTCAGCATCACTGACAGTTGTACTCCAGAGCTTACACAGACCGTTCCGGTGTTTTACTGGATACAGTTTTTTATCAAATTAATAAGCATGTCATCCTCAAGTGATGAGGAAACTATAGAAAATAATGGCATTGACCTGCAGTTCATCGCAGATGAAATTGCTAATGCTCCCATTATTTTGCAAAAAGTTCCAAAAATAAAAACGAGAAAGGACGATGCCTTGAAGAAGATGTTGAAAAAATAAGAATCGGCATTCGGTAAACCATTAGATACTAAAAGCTTATTAAAAAAATCAACAACATGATATCAATATTGAAGAAAAAACATATTTAAAAAAACTGGTAATCACGCAATTAAATTGTTAGATTGGGAAAGAAAGTTGCTGAAAGCTATGGAAGGTGACTGTAATCCTACAATTGGGAAAATTAGAGGTGTCATTCAGGGTGGTAGTGATCAAGAAGAAGGAAGTGAACTATATACCGAGCGCAGTGAGCAAACAGTTAGTATTACAGCGCTAGCAATTCAGAAGACATTGCCACCAAAAAGAAAATTAGCAACAGAGAAATACGAAACTGAGGAAACCAAAGGGTTAACTACAAAAGAACTGCAACGTCTAGTGCTAGTACCAAACAAGTATTTTACAACAAAAGTATTTTAAAACGAAATTAGAAATGATGCAGCGTCAGAAGCCACCGGTAACTTATGATGTTCACGAAAATAAAACTTATTATAACTTATAAATATACTTTAATCCGTAAAAATATTTATTATAATACTCAAGTTTCTTCTTATTTGTTGACCTAGTTGGCGGAGAGGAAGTTCGTCATTCTCATGATTTCCTTCATCTTCATCTGGGTCTTGTTCAACTAACTCAAAGTCAGGATCGCCCAAGCTCTTCGCAACATTATGGAGTACAATACAAGCAATAATTATTTTCGGCATATTTCCAACTTTACGCGGCAAACATACCGTAGAATAGGAAACCGGCGTTTACAGTTGGCCGAAACAGCGTTCAATTATAACTCTTTCTTGTTTTAAAAGCTTATTATAATTTATTTCTGCACCTGGGGTAGGATTTCTGAAGGGAGTCATAAGGCATGGCTCAATATCATAACCGTCATCGCCAAGTAGTACAACATTTACTTCATTTACTAATTGTGATCTAGTCTGTGAATTTCTCCATATTTTGGAATCATGCACTGATCCAGGCCAACTGACATCAACACTTGTGAACATCTCTCTGGCATCACAAGTGGCTTGCACATTTAAAGTAGGTTTCCCTTTTTGGTTGATATACTCATTCCATGGTGATTAGGCTTCAGGATTCCTATATATGTACAATTAATTACATCAATTGCTGTCAAAAATGTATACCTACATGCTTTGCCATATCCGCTTGGCCTCCATCAGTTCATGGTTGGTAGTTGGAAACTTGATCCATTCGTTCGACTGTGCAACTATGCTGTTCACAACTCTATCCACAATCCGAGATACCGTTGCTTGACTAACACCAAGTTCCTGACCAATACCTTGTTGATATCCAGGGTCACCGAGATAGCGTAGGCATATCTTCATTTTATGAATACATGAAAGTGCTCCTCCTCGAGTTTCCTCATTCTCAACTAAAAATCTGTCCGCACATACAAGCAATAATTATTTTCGGCATATTTCCAACTTTACGCGGCAAACATACCGTAGAATAGGAAACCGGCGTTTACAGTTGGCCGAAACAGCGTTCAATTATAACTCTTTCTTGTTTTAAAAGCTTATCATAATTTATTTCTGCACCTGGGGTAGGATTTCTGAAGGGAGTCATAAGGCATGGCTCAATATCATAACCGTCATCGCCAAGTAGTACAACATTTACTTCATTTACTAATTGTGATCTAGTCTGTGCTGTGAATTTCTCCATATTTTGGAATCATGCACTGATCCAGGCCAACTGACATCAACACTTGTGAACATCTATCTGGCATCACAAGTGGCTTGCACATTTAAAGTAGGTTTCCCTTTTTGGTTGATATACTCATTCCATGGTGATTAGGCTTCAGGGTTCCTATATATGTACAATTAATTACATCAATTGCTGTCAAAAATGTATACCTACATGCTTTGCCATATCCGCTTGGCCTCCATCAGTTCATGGTTGGTAGTTGGAAACTTGATCCATTCGTTCGACTGTGCCACTATGCTGTTCACAACTCTATCCACAATCCGAGATACCGTTGCTTGACTAACACCAAGTTCCTGACCAATACCTTGTTGATATCCAGGGTCACCGAGATAGCGTAGGCATATCTTCATTTTATGAATACATGAAAGTGCTCCTCCTCGAGTTTCCTCATTCTCAGCTAAAAATCTGTCCGCAAGCCATTCTACATTTGCTTCGTCGAACCGACATAATTTTTTGAAGTCACGACCAAGTGAAGGTAAACGAGGTTTGTACGTTTTAACATATCCCTAACATCCACAATTTCCGCCATCATCATTTGAT